AAAAGAAACATCCCCGATAAAAAGTAAAAAGAAAGAATAAACAAATACCCTCGAATGGTGAAATAAACAAATTAACATACAAAACACAAATACATATATACATGTATAAAGATCTATTTTAGATTCTATTTTATTTTTTATATACATATCCACATTTGGTTTATATATTATGTATTATGATTTTTGAAATCTTATTTTTATTTACGATTATTATAATGATAATTTAAATTCCGTAATGAATTAACGGTGATCGCAATTTATCGTTAGGAAAATGAACCCTTCGATTGCGTTCAGAGTAAATTGTACTTTCACTACGAACGGAATACTATTGTCACGTTTTTGTTTCTGTATGCATCGCTGTCAAAGGGTTAACTATAGTATTTTCCAAATTTTTTAGTTGGCCGTCATTAAAAAAATGATATATTTGCATATGTATGTATATTGAATTTGGATATTTTGTGATAGCATTTTATGAAATACGCGTAAATGTGAAACTAATATACACAGAGATTGAATTAATTATTATATATTTTTTCAATATACATATGTTTGTATATATGTATTAGATTTATTTTGTTTTCGTCATTATATAAAAATATCACTACAAACACACATAACACACTAAGAAACAAAATATAGAGACTGAAATGTGTTTGGTATTTGTAATAAAATAAGTTTCCGGATATTGTCACTCTTACATCTCAATTATTAACTTTTTCTTTCCAAGTTGTTTGTTATATACTTTTTTAATAATTTTTTATTATTATTATTATCATTATTATTAATATTATTATTACTTTTTCTTTTTCATGCGAATGAAAATCATTCCAAGTGATGTAAAAAAAGAAATTATATTTAAATATTAAACGAAAGTCAGATTATAGCAAGTACAGTTTGTTTAACAAACACAAAGAAAGAGAAAGAGAGAGAAAAAGTAAGAAATAAATAAAGATAGATATTACGAAAAGATGAGAGTAACAAAGTATGAAATGAACGAAACATCACAAATACATACATACGTATATATATATATATATTTATATGTATACACTTTAAACATACACAAGACTACGTAAATTAGTAAAAACAAGTAAAAATAAAACCGAGAACAATTATAATAAATAATAACACGAGTGTGGTACGTAAACTTTGCGCGACAAGATGGTTCTCCCTCCATCTCCTCGTAAGGAAGGTAATATCTTTATTATTTTAAAGATACGTTCTCATTAATAATATAAATAATTAAATAAATAAATAAATAAATAAAATGGCGGACCAACTCGTCCCTGCATAGCCGTGCCGGTACATACGTACGTGCGCGCGCGAGTGTGTGTGTGTGTGTGAGTTGAAAAATTTTGAGCCTAACATGGAAGAACATTTCTTTCTTTTTTATTTTTACAAAATAAAAGTTGTTTTAAGGCTCAAACTTTTCAACCCATCTTAGTTGAAGAAACGTTATAATTATTATTATTATTCTTCTTCTTCTTCTTCTTCTGCTTTTATTTTATTTTCTTTTGTTTTTTATTATCCGTAGTATTTTTTAAATACCTTTTTCTTCCTTGTTTTTATTTTAAGAATAATTATTACTTATATATAAATATTATAACTATATATAAATATATATATATAAACATATATATATATATATTTATATAGAAAGAAAGATTGAGCGAAAGATTTTTAATGAATGATAATGATAATGATAATGATTACGATTATGATGATAATGATGATGATAATGATGATGACGATTATGACGATGATGATGATGATGCTGGTGATGATGATAATGATAATGGTAATGATAATGATAATGATAATGATAATGATGAAAAGTAAAAATGCTATTCTGTAAAGTGAGAGACAAAGTTGTCCGTATATATATATATACATAGTTTAAATCTTGTGGAAACAGAAGCAAATCAATGTGTGACAACAAATTCACGATACAAAAAATGTTTCCAAACAACAACCCCTTCCCTGGTTCAAGGTCGAGTGTAACCCTGTGAAGACGACATCAGTTAACTTCTTCTTATTCTTCCTCTTCCTCCACCATCGTTGTTTCACTGAACCCCCTGATACCCCCACCACTCGAAAAAGGGCTGGCTGCCATAGCCCCTAGCCCACACGACCGACGATACGTGGATCCTGATCTGCTGTGGGATTGCAAAAAGAGAACAAAAGAAAGAAAACGCACATGTCCATTCTCTCATCCGTTTTTTTTTTTTTTTTCATTTTTTTAATCGATTAAAAATATATTTTTTCCGTTATATATATATATATATATTTTTTTTTTCTTTTTTCTCGTCATACGAATAAAATATTACATATATGTATATATATGTAATATATATATGTATATGTAAGCGTGTGTGTGAGCGCGTGGATGCGTGCGTGCGTGTACGTGTATGTATGGATATTTACATATAATTTTTCGTTGTTCGTTTGGAAAAGAACAAAATACATATAATTTTTCGTTGTTCGTTTGGAAAAGAACAAAAAAAAAAAA